AATCTACCTCTATAGTTTTCCCCCTATATTATCCTCTTCTCTTTTCAATGTTCTTTTCATTATCATTATTATTATTATTATTGTCATATCTGACATACTGTTAATTTTCTTAGGATATGTGGAAGTTGAAAATCTTGGGGTTGAATATTCATCTCCTTGAGGGCTATTCATACTATCTTATGACAGTATGAATCAGATATGTTAAAATCTTGTTACTGAGTTCTGTATAGTTTACAGATGTTAAATTTACCTACTTATTTGTGCTATTTTACGAAGTTTCCTTATATTTCAATAGTATTATTAAATCTAGGTGTTCATAATTGCAGTCATTCAATGACAATAACTCCAATTTGTTTGTTAATATGTTAATACCTTGATGATGAATATTATTCACTTAACAGTGACGTTAACAGTTTAAATTTAAACTTTTATTATAGCTTGACTTCACACTGTATTTTTAAAACAAGTATGGAATTTTCAGTATGTGACATAGGTAGCCCAAAATTTACAAGTCGACTATTGATATCGGGTGTGCGTCGGCCAGGGATTGAACCCCGGACTATGTGCTTGGTCGGCGAGCCTCCTAACCTCTGTGCCACCGACGCACACTTATCTTTCGCATTAGAACCACTCCTTATTTGTTGCTGTCACAATGTCCTACGTGAAGAGTGTATAAATCACAGTGTTTGTAAAGGAGTATTCAGCTGATGGATGAGTCCTTCTAGTGAAATTAATGAATCCATTAACTACTGCTTTCCGCCCCCGCGCCCGCCTCCGCCCTAAATTGTCCCCTGTGCTAACAATTAAGGAGTTGGGAGCATAGTTTCTTCTTAAAATCTTGGGTGAGCTAGCTTTTAAGATTTACACGAATCAAAAAGAACAATGCTTCGGATCAACTTGGGTTTTCCTGCCTTAAGGAACATTGATCTAGAAGAAAAAAAAAACTAACTAAATCCAGTCCCTAGACATCTTCCGGTTGAATAACATTGTTTGTCTTATAAGATTTGTCTTTTAAAAAGCAACCTGTGATTATCTCTTTGGTATTTAACTCTTCATAGATAAGTGATAAGTACACTTCCCTTCTTTTCTGTAATAGGCATTCAGTAATCCGACAGTCATCTAATATTAGATGGGTTAGAGGGTGTTTGTTTCAGAATAAATTACCGAAATCAAGGAGATAATCAATACATTAACCCAATAGCTTTATCTGAATTTCACATAAATAACTCTGGGCTAGAGATTTTTTTTAATTAAACGAAACGAAAGCCCAAAGATGCAATTTCTAGTCGGTTTTAGGCCTAAATCTATTACAGAATAACCACAATAAGTATTTTAGCTGATTGAGGGGAGAAAAGTGCCTGTCTTTGAAAATCTCATCAGAGATATAGGCAGTTTATTTTGCTGTTGAAGGAGATAGAAGCGCTTTTGACCCTACTCTCACAGTTCATTACTTGTGCCGAGTCGGTTTCCGATTCGAATTAACTACTGTTACAGTAGGAGTGACTTATTGCTTACCAACCACGCATGTGGTCCGGTCCTGAAACTTAGCAAAGGAGGAAGAGTCTTTGTAATTCGGCATTCCCATACAATGAAAACGACAACGCTGCTACAGTGGAACTCTACAGCTCATCCTCGAATTCCTATGTTTCAATTGGAGCTAAGTAGACTGCCACATTCCGTCAATAATGTATATATAACCTGGACTTCTCCTCAGAGTTCATCGGTTCATACAGTGCATTTTCTAACGCCTGAGTGAAAAGGAACGCGTTGTCCATGAGTCAGAAGGTGATATGGAGAGGGTCATTTTAGTACAAAATAAAATCATGTTAAGATTTGTTGCGGTAACTAAATGTGATGACTGCGTATAGAACAGATTACAATAGAGGTGCTCCATTGAAGTCCTATGCTTCAGTCGGAAATCGGAGAACCAATGATAATAAAGGTATAATATGCTCAATTCTTCATAAATCATGGGTTTAGAGGTGCAATTATTCGCTACAAATTGAAACAAAAAGCAGCCACCTTATTTAACTTCAAAGTTATTGATATTGAGAAATTCTACGAACTAAATCCTGTGCCTATCAACTCTAAAAAATGCTTTTTTCACACGTATACTAATAGAAATTGGAAAGAACAAGGCCATTTATCATGTTTAGAAATTAAGCGAAAGTTGCTTCTTAAACATTTGAGAATGTAATGTTGGTCAACCTCTTGTTTAGAATTATTTTTCTCCATCTAAACAAAACGTTTTCAACGCAGGTTTTAGTATGAAATGGACCTGTGTTTAATTCTCCCTCCATGACTAATGATATAATTATGTCTTCTGGCGAAATTCCATTCTTAGATGTCTTCATCAACAGAACTAACACAGGCAATTTAGAACACAGGCAAACAGAAAATCACTGCATAGACATACATAGATCAAATATTCAAGTATAATAGCAATAATCCAAATACTCAAAAACGAAACGGTGAGCAGACATTGGTTAAAAGGGTCCAAATAAATTGCAGCACTCCGACACTGAAGGGAATGGAAGAGAAACACCTACTAACTGTCTTCAAAAAGTATGTGAATATCCATATAATTTCATCAAAAAGTGTCCGCCCTACACATGAAGAATATCTCTAGAATGCTGAGACCTTTTGAAAAAGATATAGTTTACAAGCCATCCAGAGCAATCAATTCATTTGATTGATATTGTGCAGACGAAAATATTCAACAGAAAAAGAAGGTATAAATATAAGTTGTATCAACTGTGACAAACACTAGATCAGCCAAAGTGGGCGTCCGCTTCGACTAAGAATCCAAGAACATAAATTAGCTGTGAAAAGACACGATATGTATTCTTTTATATTAATGCAGCGCTCGCAGTGCGTCGGTGGTATAGCGGTTAGCACGCTCGCCGACCATGCATATGGTCCGGGGTCCGATCCCCGGCCGGCGAACTCCTTTACCTCACTGAGCCAGAAATAATCCTGGTAAAGAGGAAAGGTTGGGCATGAGGCTAGCAACCCCATCCTGTAAAAATTAAACACTGCTACAGAAACTTCAAGCCACTAGCTTGGAGCCCTATGTTCCACTGGGAACGTGAAGGAAAAATTATTTATTATTATATCAATGCATATAGATTATCATGAACACCAATTCGATTGAGAGGATGTAGAACTTTTAAAAAGAATAAATACCGGAAGTGATGCCGGAGAGTTTCTAGAAGCCTTATACTCGGAATGATCAGCAATTAACAATCACACTACTATAGACCAAATTTACCAACTAATAACAAAAAAATGAATCGCATGAAGAGACGGTTCAAATTCCCAGCCAATCAAAATGATCAAGGGAGATATAAATTGACAACTAATCGCGGCAGTGGTTGTCACAGGAGATACAATTATATCATCAGTCATGGAGGGAGAATTCAAACAATTCCATTTCATACCAAAACCCGCTCTGAAGATGTTGTGTCTATATAGGGAAGAGAATGAAAGTCTCGCAGTTAAATCAACCAACTCAGAGAAGAAAACTAAACCGGTATCATCCACCTGAGCTACAGATCTTCTCCATTATTTCAGGAGCTATTTCTTCTCAGTCCACTCTGACAAATTACCTGGAGTAGCTTTAGTTTGTTTAAGTCAACCTCCTCATATGTAAATCGTCTTTCAAGAGTTAATGAACCTACTATACAGTTCTTTTAACAGGTACACGCACAAATAATATTGATTTATGCAATACACCCATCATAAATGGCATTTCCTTCATAGGGATGTTTACATCAGTGCATCTGAATCCTCTACGATGAATATAAACGTTTATTACGCGTAGCAGACAGTTGGTTGTTGTCTTGCAATGGTCCGGATATTATCTTGCAACTTATTATGATCACTTCTACATAAGTGGTAGTCTAAAATTTGCATATTTTCATACACTGATTGGTTCGTTTATTTTGTCACTGAAACTGTCAGTCGTCCGTTCGACGAAGCAATGGTTTCGTGTGATGACTACCTACTGAAGTCTAATCAAGACTTCTACATTGACCTAATATGCTATCTGTTTGATAGCCAAGGATGGAAATCGATAAGGCAAGCAAAAATAAACGATGACATACATATGGCGTCAAGCAGATCACACATTGTCTGTGGATGTGTATGTGTGATGTGAATAATTGTGGTCTACAAATGAAACTGTGTTGTGAAATTCCAGCTCCTCGAACTGTGCAATTTACAAATTGAAAATCTGATGTCATGTATATCACCAGTCTGACCGAATTTCCAGCCAGCTAGCCAGAATTCAGATGGTTTGAACTGATTCTGACATCTCTGAGCTGAGTCGAACCTGGCATCTCGGTATTCAGATCACTTAGAAATGTTTGATCCAAAAGGTACTTGCAAGTTTGTTTCTGAGGTCGGTTTCATTGCTAGCAAGAAGATGTAAAGACTACTTTTAAACTTCCCCCTCTAAAATGTGACCCACCGGTTGAAGAGATATAAAACTAATGGGTTAATCTATGACTTCTGTTCGTCTATATCGGATAAAGTACACTCAAGGCATCATCAAGAAGACACCAATATTTTAGAGACGAAATCAGTTGGTAATCTTAAATCTTCAAGAAATCAAATTATTTTGTTGGTAAAGTCTATCTCCGTCTTATTCTTCAGTTTAACATGTCCATTATCTAGATGATACTCTCAAATGTTATCGACCTTCCAAACATAATCTCTATGCCATCTCTCTCTCTCTCTCCCTCTGTCTTAATGGAGTAATGCAGATATCTGAGATAATTACTAGTCACATGAGATCCTCGTCATAAAAATAGAATATCTCATATCAGGCAATTATCATTCTACTATTACTGTGTAGTTCATTGATTTCATTATAATTTAGGCAAGTAAAAGACTAAAAGCGCCGAAGTGAATTAGGTATAGAAAAAAAAAGTAGTAAAATAGTGGTTTTTTGTTTTATTTTTTATTATTTTTTACAAAAATCATTACTGTTTACTTACCTATTTGTTACTTGAGCAGCTGTTAAACGAATAAATGCACTCCGTATTCGTTGCATACTAACAAGTACTTGAGCAAATGGAGTTACAATAACGCCTTCAACAGCACCACCCGGTAGATTATTTGTAGGATCAGTTAGTATTCCAGCTAATCCATTTGTACTTGATATACTGCCGGCTCCACCACAGCCGCCTCCGCTTCCGCTGCCGCCAGTAATGCCACCTGTTCCACCGGTACTTGATCTACCAAGTCTTACTATCATAGATCCTCTGCGTATAGGTGGTTTTTTTGTTCCAGGTTGTAGACCAATTGAATCATACATAGTCGGTGAATTATTAGTGGGGGACAGGGTTAGCGAAAGTGTTGTTGCACAATCAGTTGTTGTTGTTGTACGGGGTAAGAAAAATGTAGGAATTGTTTGATTACTACTATTATTAACATTATTATTATTATTAATATTATTAGAATTCTGTTGTGATTGTTGCTGATGATAATGTTGATTATGATGGTGTGTATGATTAATGGAAGTGAAATGTGCATTAGAAATAGATCGCCTAAATAACTGATTAAATGGTCGAACGCCTTCCTCTTCCCGTTCTCTTCTATGGACAAATGAATCTACAGGTTTTAAAGGACGCTTTATTATCGATGAATTGGTTGTATCGGTTAATGAGCCGGCGGAGGTGGAAGAGATGGGCATTGGACTATCGCCTGACATAACATTAGTGGTAGTAGTAGTAGTATTAGTAGTACTATTATTATTAGTAGAAGGGTTAATCGAGTCAGTGGTACTTCCACTTATCTGTACTCCAGAATTACTACTTTCCACCCTAATTTCAGGCTTAATTGAGTTTAATTCATTAGTGTTCAGTGTAGTGGATGATATTACATCAGCAGGACTTGTTGACAATTTCTCTTTCTCACTAACACTATTTGTATTCGTATTATTCTTGTCTTGTGGATCACATTTTGAATTCATAGAGTGATTATTTTCAATTGGTTTTAAATCTGTAGAATTTACCAGCAGTAAAGGTGATATAACATCCGAATTTGTTGTTGAATTACCCGATGTTTTCATTTTGGTCAGGCTTTTCTGATGATAATCATTTTCTTGGTGTTGACTACACCTGACACAGCTTATTATACAGCATTTCTTCCACATGACGTTTCCCCCCGGGCAAAAAAAAAAGAACGATACTTTTTATGCACTGAATATGCGTATATTTGTGTATATGTATATGTATACTATAAATCCGGATAGATCACAGATTGTAGTATTGTGAAAACCGCATTTTCTCTTTTTTTATTTATTCCATTCCGTCTCGTTCGCCTTCACTGTCGCCTTTTCCCTCTGTAGTCAGCCGTCAAACAGTGAAGACAATGATTGTGTTGGTATTCTTGTACATGTATTATTCGCCTGCCTAATTACAGCAACAGTCGATATATAGAAAATGTATTTCCAGAAACACTGCGCTATACATTCCAAATTTTATTACGACATTAGATTTCATTATTTCATATATATGTAATATAATTGACGATGATGATCATAGTGATGATGATGATGGTGAGTACATTAGAAAGTCTCAGTAATAGTTTCAAGTTCAAATATTGTTATTATTATTATTAATAACAAACTAGTGAAATAAACGATGTCAGGACAACAGCAGATTGATGAATCCATTCAAAAGTATTACAACACACTAGTATTGTAGCTATATTTCTCTGAGTGTGCGTGTGTCTCTGCGCGTGTGTATTGTGTTCATGTGTCTATGCTTGTGTTCACTCACGTGTCCTAGCGCGTTATGTCTGTCTATTTATATATACATCTAACCTCTAGCTTATATAACGATGGAAAGTGCGTGTCTGCGTGTGTCTGTATGAATTTCGACGTACTGTTAGTAGTAGTAGTAGTAGTAGAATTAGTAGGAGGAAAATGAGAGTAGTGAAGATGGATAGAACTAACAAACAAACTAACTAACCGACTATTGAATCAACACTAACAAGGAGACATAAACATCTTCATCGCTGTATATAGTGACTATCTAAGGACAGGTTATGGTGAATACTCTCTATTCTAAGGTGAATTTTTTTGTTGTTGTTTGTATTCCTTCTATGCTATTTGTGATTGTCTATCTGACCATCATCACTGTATCACTGGCGGGTTTATCAAACTACCACCAACCAGTCGGCCATCAGGTTATCCGTCTGTCTATGCCACCATCATACACAACAATCTGCATAATATGCAATAAAAGAAAAAGTACTTTTGGTTTAGTCATTACATTGTAAATTTAGCCCTACTATGAGTGATGATGATGATGATTCGGCAGGCGATTTATTTTACATGATCACTAGGATTTCCTCTTTACAGTTGTAGGTGTTTCAACGATATTCAACTGAATACTTGTCGCATACTTCGTTTAGTAACCAACTGACCTTATTATTATTATTTCCTTTAATTCCTAGAGGAACATTGGGCTTCAGCCGCGCATCTCCATTGCGCTTGGTTCTCTGCTAGAGTTGCTGATCTTTTCTGGCCAGCCATCTGATCTTGAGTATTGAGCGAAAACAACTGTTAACGAAGGTCTGAAGTTTGTTTGAGATGCTCTTTATGACGCGCAGTGCAAGTCTCTCATCCGTATAGTAGCGCTGACTGATTTCACATTGGAGTTGAAAATCCGGATCTTATTTTCATTTCCATGCTGAGTGCTGTTGACCTTCAAACAGACTTGAAAGAAATGAAAGCTTGTTTTGCTTTTCCGATTCTGGCTTTGACATCCTCGTCAGTTCTGTCCACCTGCAGGTAAAACGATGTTTCCCAAATTGCTAGGTAGTTAAAGGAGGTTGTTTCTTTCAGGTTCCTCCCATTTATTCTGGCTGATTGTTGTCTGTTGTTGTTGTTGTTGCTGTGGCTGTTGGCCAGGAATCTTCATCACTCATCTCTGTTTAACTATGTTCATCTGAAGTCCTATCATCTCTGGATGCTTCTTCTGCCAACCTGTTGCTTTTCACTTGCATATCTTCCACTTTGTGGGAAATAAGACATATGTCATCATCGGCGAAGTCCAGATCCTACAAGTCTCTTTTTGTGTGAGTCCATTTTATGACTGTTTCCTCATTGCCCGACCCTTTGTCTGTCGCATTATCCAATCTAGTGCAATCAGGAAGATCATTGGCGATAGTAGGCAGCCAGCTTGCCTCACTCCCGCCCTCACTTCGAAGGATTCCGTAAGTTTCTGTTGTGGATTACTTGGCATGCAGCATTGTGGTATAACTATTGGATGAGATGTATAATTCTCAGTGATACCCCGTAGTAGCGAAGTAGTTTCCAAATCACCTCTCAATCGACGCTATCGAAGGCCTTTTCAAAATCGACGAAGTTGAGATAGAGAGGTGACTGCCATTCCAAGCTTTGCTCAGTGATGATTCGTAGAGTGGCAATTTGATCAATACATGACTTGTCTCTCCTGAATCCAGAGTGTTGCGGCCGAAGTTTCCTTCTAGGGCTTGTTTGATTCTCTCCAGTATGATGCGGCTTAGCATTTTGCTTGGGAAGGACAGGAGCATAATTACATGCCAGTTTTTGCATTGACTTAAGTCTCCTTTCCTTAGTAGTTTGAATAAGTATCCTTTCTTCCAATCCTCAGGTACTTTGCCTTCTTTCCACACCTTCTCCAGTAGTGGTGTCATCAAGTCCACTGTTGCCTCTGGGGTTCATTTTCAATGCTGCTGCTGGGATTCCATCTGGTCCTGCTGCTTTTCCAGCTTTAAGCAACTTGACTGCATTCAGGACTTCTGATTTTGTCGGAGGGTCAATGTTCACTGGTAGTTCTGCTTCCGTTGTTGTTATTGTTGGGCGCGTTGTAGGTGCCGTCGATTTAGAAGTCTTTTGAAGTGTTCAGCCCAGTGTTTCTTTTGCTCCACCTGTTTTGTGATTGACTTCCCATTGTCATCCACTACTGGCTTAATTTGTGTCGAACTTTTCCCCGATAGGTGCCTAGTTGTCTGGTTACTTGCAGCTTATTCTGTTTCACTTGACATGGCTTCATAAAATTTTGAGGGAGATCACTGGAAACCACTGACGAGCACTGGATAGTGCATTTTCTTCTTATTTTGGGACTATTCAAGAGTGCTCAGCCACAACTGCATAGCCAGGGACTTTCAGGTTATTATGGGACCAACGTTGTTAAGCATTCAGCCGATTGGACTAGAATTCGATGACTTTTTAGTTCTAACTTTGTTAGGTTATTTCACACAAGTGTAATCAAGGTAATGTATCTCATATTATGTGTGTGTGTGTGTGTGTGTGTGTATAGGTTTCAACTTTTACCTAGCGTGAACCATGTGACCTAGTAAAATACGATTTATTATTAGTATGGACTTTTGTTCTACATTCTTTGTAATTGTTTTATTATTCCCTTGGGTTCCAAGTGGAACACAGGGCTTCAGCAAAACACCTTTTGCTTTGTTCTATTTTCTGCTGTCCCCTTCAACTAGCTGGGTCCACGATTGCCCAAACTCTCTCGTCTCTTCCTTCCTTCCTTCCAAACTATCTCCTCCATGTTACCCTCGCATTGACGACCCACTCGTCGCTTCCTATTTGGATTCCATTCGAGCAATGGCCTGGCTGGCGCGTGATTTATGCCCGATCCATCTCCATTTTTTCTCCTATGTATTTGCTGACTGATCGGTTCTTGGTTAGTTTGTCCCCAGCCAGAGTTCTGTCAGGCCATTTGATTTCCAGTATGGAGCCAGAGAAGGAAGCTGTTGGAAATTCTTTTCATGACATGCAATCCAAGTTTCTGACCCGTACAAAAGGACCAACCTCACATTGGTGTTGTAAATGCGAATCTTGTTCCTTGTGTTGAAGCAGAAGATTTCCAAACTGGTTTCAAGTTGATGAAGGCGTATCTTGCCTTTCCCATTCTAACTTTAACATCTTCATCCATTCTGTTGAAACGGTGCTCCCTAGTCGGATAAGTGAAGTGGAGGTTAAATCTCTCCCGTTATCTTGTGAAGGAAGCCAGTTCTAAAGTGATTGTAAAGAAACTCTGGAATCCTACCACCACTTAATAATATTTATCTTTTTAATGATTTCTAATTCTTTTCAAGTTATACAGTGACATCTGTGTATTAGTTAACGAATAGTTGTCATTGGCAACATTAATGTTTTTGTTTTCATAAAGTCGACTGATTAAGGCAGGCAAAGTATGCCGGAGTTTTGTGTCAGCAAAATGTTTTGCTAATATAATCCGGTAACTGGAAGGTAAACTTACATACTCATCGTGAGTTGGATCAAAGTGCATCTTAACAAGTGATCTCTCACTTTTTAAATACAGATTGTGCTGATAAATTAGGGAGAGACAGTTAGTTACCCGTCTAAATACTTTTTTATTCGTCGTATAACGATAGACAGTTATCGAAAACTTCTTAGTCCAGTATATTAAAGTCATTGAAAAACGCCTGTGTTCTGTACACAGTCTGTTCAGTGAATTCAGCTAATTTATTCAAATAATAATGATAATAATCACACCAATTTTTTACAGCATGAGAACCTACCCACTGTCTGTAGATGTACCTGACGCACCATGTTGTTCTGCAGCTAGCGCTGTAACAAAAATGGATCCACGCCGCTGTCTAAGACCTGGAGGATTTTGTGGAGACGGCGGAGCCTGTTGACCTGTAGGAGGTTGAGCATCACTTGGTGAGATCCCTTTACTGTTAGAAAACGCAAAGTTGATGGTGGTCCCGGGGGGGGGGGGGGGAGGGTGGAAAACAATAAAAAGTGCAATAAAAAAAATAATTAAGTGATACAATAAACAGGAGAATAGTTCTATGTTAAGATAGACTGAACATTTAACTTCTTCTAACTTACTTGCTTAATTTATATAGGCGTATGCAGACAGAAATGGGAAGAAGAGACGTAGTCGACCGACAGTTTCTGATATGACTTAGCAATTCCTTACCAGTCTTCACTTTGGAGGATTTAGTGAGATGAATATAATGACTGACACAAAGCCGTAATATGCAAATACACAAACCGATTTGATTTGGACGAATCTACAAATGCTGAAAAGGGATGTGTTGAGGAGATCTTTGATATTTTTGGAACCTTGATCAATTGTGTAACACTTTTCTCTTGCACTGTGAACAAAGCAACAGAATTCTAAGTAACTAGGATGCAGTTTGACTGAATGAACTTTACACAGAAAGGCAGCAGTTGGAGTTCCCACCTTCCATGTACCACACATACAAAGATGAAATATAGAGAAAAAAGATGTATTCTAAAAGAATAGTATTACATGGAAAGAAGTAGGGTTTTCAAAGGATATGGGAAGTCACAGAGATTGAATGCCTGTCACCCACTTAGGACCACTTCGAGTCATTTCACCCGTTATCTCCAGCTGGCATCTCGAGGACACCAACCAAGCTTTTTACACCTCTCTATGTGGTTGGCTAAAACTGACTGCCAAATACTTAATGGACTGATGACAATTCTTGGTTTGACCACCGTTAGTTATTTTCCAACTTGATTCTATGTCAGATAACATTGACTGTCAAGAAAGACGATAACCATACATATCTAGCACATGACTTTCCCTCTTCACCTAACACTTGACAGCTGATCTCGATATTACTGCCCTCCCCTTATTCAACACCTAACATATGAGGTAGAACGCAGACGCCTGTGATCAAAGACAGCTAGTCTTTTCATATCCTCCACATTCAATGACTATGTCTCACAGCGATAAAGGAAGACAGAGTGAAATGATGCGCAGCATACGCAGCCTTTGATTGATAGCTAGATATCACGTTAAGGCTAGAAATTTCGTCAGCGACGAACCTGTCGGGTGTGATGCCAGCAAAGAATCAACCTGTAAAGGCGGCCTGCTTGAATTACTGGGCTACATGAATTTCTATCCAATGATTTGCGTAAAATTTTCTCTACTTCTCTTTGTTTTACCCATTCAGTTATGTAAGTTGGTCGCCAAGAGTACTCATACAAATTTTTTAATTGCCTATCAGTACACTGTTGCGTATATCTCGGCGACGAAAGAAAGATACCATAAGGGATTATTTATTTCTTTACATGAGGTATTACAAATTGCTATATTACTCGAAGCTCCTGGATGAAGCGAAGATATTGTGCAACAAAGTAGTCTGTAAATTCTGGATATTATGTAATCTTTCCGTTCAGAAAATTATTATTCCCTTGGTTGCAGAGTAGAACTCAGGGATTCAACAGAATATCTCAGTTTCCTCTTGTTATCTGCAGTTGTATTTGGCTAGTCCAACGATCACCCACACATGCTAGCATTTCATCCTCACATGATAACTTCCATGTCAGCCTCGAACTCAGCCAGACCCAACTCATCATTTCGCATTTGGATTCCACGAGAGCGCGATGTCACTCAACGATCTTCTTAGCGTGTATCCAATCCATTTCCATTTCCTTCTAATAATTATTTGTTGGTTCGGCTATACGTTCTTGGTTAGTTCGTAAACAGCCAGAGTTACTTGTTTCTAATTTTCTCCACCGGCCATCTGATCTTCATTAGGGAGTCAGAGGAGATGTTTATTGACATTGACTTGTTGAAAATGCTTTTCGTGGTGTTGACGGCCAAGTTTTTCAAGCGCATAGAAGAAGTGAATTAACACTGGTGTTGTAAATCCGAATATTGCTCCTTGAGCTGGTTACAGAAGATTTCCAAACTGTCTTCACAGTGGTGAATGTCTCCTTTGAGTTTCTGTTCCTCTCAGGCTTTGAAATCTTCATCCCTTCCGGCTGTCTCTATCTGGAGTGATTCTGTCTAGATAAGTGAAGGCAGGAAGTGACCTCTTTCAAAGTGTTCCCACTGAGGGTGGGTGATTGGTGCTTGTTTTTCTCGCTGTTGGTTGACTATCTTTATCACCTCCACCTTTTCTATCTTCACTCAAAGTCCTGACTTCGCTGTGTACCTCTCCTCAAAACTTGTTGGTTTCCACCTGTTAGTCTTCGTATTTGGTGTACCATTAGACATAAATCGTCCACGAGGTTCTAATCTTTTAGAGTCTTCCTATTGGTCCATCGTATTTGTGTCTTTTCTCTCCTCATTCACACACACAATCCAGTGACTGCAATCAAGAATATCATTGTTGATACGGGGGCAGACTTGTCTTCCTCCTGTATTCATTTCAAACGCCCCGCTGAGTTATCCGTTGTGGATCACCTGACACGTGCCGTTGTTATATAGTTGTTGAATTATTTTTGATAAAATTTGTTGTTCAGAACAAAGTTGTTGTGGTTAATATTATTGTTTTTGTGAATGACACCCCAAAAATAAACAGAAGAATGTCATTCTTTCCATTAAGCTTTCGATTGGTAACTCTCTCACACATGTAAGCCTATATATATATATATACAATTGAAGGGTATGTCATCGTTTGAAGTCATGCAGGAAATTAAGAGATTCAAATGCACCATCTGTCAGATGACCATTTTTCTTTGTGGTGGTCCGAAATAGGAAGTGAATGTACCAACGGCTGTACCAACGTTGTGTTTTTTCGCATTTCTTGTGAGAGCAAATACTCGCCGATAGCATTCATTGCCTATTGGTGACGTTATACTTATAACTAGAATTGATAGAAGTTAGAATTCATGGGCCGTTGGATTTCATTTCATTTATTGCCGACCATGTACATGGTCTGGGTTCGATCCCCGGCCACAGACACACTCCTTTACCTCGCTAAGCCAGAAATAATCCTGGTAATGAGGAAAGGTACGGAATGAGGCTAGCAACCCCATCCTGTAAAAATAAACACCACTGCTACAGAAACTTCAAGCCAATAGCTTGAAGGTGCCCTGTGTTCCACTGGGGAACGTGAAGGAAGAAAAATTAAACAATCAGTAGACTGATTGGTTTCATAGTCATGAGTTCGATTCCCGTAGGGAACGGGGGGTGATGCGTGCGAATCTCATCCCGACATATGAAACACCTACCCAATACTGGTTGGTTTTCGCCATGATTTTCCCCTAAATGATGTCAATATCTGATATAAGGTTGATATCAGTCACATGGCTGTTAATCAACTCTTGGAAAATATATTCCCCTTATTGATCCCATCTTGTACGTTCATCCTTATCAATCAGATCACAGTACTGCGTCGTTTATATTCTTCTGTGTGTATGTGTGTACACAGAAAAAAACCAATAAACATTTCAAGAGGATAATGGAAAGTGCATTAGCTGATGAAGTGTATGAACTTTCCACACCCTTCGACACACTGCCAAAAGATTTACGCATATTTACGATGTGGCTTCAGGTGTACGTCCGTGTGTGCGTGTGAATGTTTTTTCATATGTAAATCACTTTTGCTTATTACAACACTTGAATATTACAAATAAATTGATCTTTATTGTATTAAAACTGTTGGATAAACAATCACTTGATGAGGTTTACGTTTATGCATGTCTTTGCGTTAATGTCACACACACGCAAACACATACACACATCTACTGACATTCATACAGAAGGATAGGTTAGTGAACAAACTTCATCCTTTCTTTCAAAATGCATAATTTAACAATATCAGTACAGGTTTTTTTTGGATATTTCGTTTTCTTTTTACTTTTCCCGCCTACATTCTCTATTATAAGTAATGTATGATGAAAGTGTACAGGTTGAAAATGTTAATTTAAACAAACAGCAACATGCATTTTCGTCAGTTTCGCAGTTTCAAAGTACTGAAATCAGGTGATAACGTGAGGCAAGAGTTAGGGAGTGACGTTCATGCTGCTAGGTGACGCATATAATATATTTATGGTAAGCCTGTGAACCTCGTTCAAATTAAAACAAAATTTCAAGTATTTTGAATCTGTTGATAATCTACGCCTATCTGCACATCAAGATGGTACGAAACCTTCGTTAACAGATTAATCGTCAAGCTTGTCCATCTCTACGCCTCAGACAGATTTAGCGCCAGCGATTGCAATGACAATCCTGACAGCTTTTGTAATGACTGCCAGGAGACCAGAAAAAACTGATAGGGAAATTCACGACACTGGACACGAGAAGTTTGTCCCAGGTGGGTCGTCCACATTATGGGAGTAGCGGTGGCGGTGGTATATTCAACAATTCGCTGAGGCACAAAGAGCTAGTGTTGTAATTGGCTCCTTCTCGATGGCTGTTATGAAGCATCTCAAGATGGCTGGCGTTAATATTTCAGATACGGACAAAGAATAATCATTTTTACGTTCATGCGTAGAGCATATTCTCTGCAAAGACACGTTATCAAGCATCAGGCCATCTTTGATGGCTTACATTCAACGCAGTGGAAGAAGTGCCAAGGAGTATTTATGGCGCCTGCAAAAAGTGGTCACTGCCCTTGGGCAGAGATTGTCTATATGCAATCAGTTTACATATTATGTTCCAGTTTGAAGAGGGACTACTCATGGCTGACATGACAGCAAGGGTCATCGAGGGTGGTCCGGCATCACCAGCAGAGACACTACGGATTGCTATGGAGAAGAGCCTGCTAATATAGCTATGTAATAATCAGGTAGAGACTGAATGGTCTTGATTACGTTACCATCTAGAGAGCAAACACACAGAGTGGAGACTGCGATATCTCCTTAGGTCTGCACACCAACCCTCCACAACCGATGGTGGGCTGGACGAACCCTAGCGTTTCTGGGGAATACGGTGAGTCCCTACTTGTTGCAACCTGATGTAATGCAG